TTTTTTATATCAACTTCAAATTTGGAACATAACTTATTTAGACATAAGGCTTTAATTTTATAGCATTTTTAGAGTAAAACCTGTTATGAAAAAATATTTATTTTATATAAAATAAAAAAAAAAATGTAAACTTCTATAACTTTTTGATACTTTCATATCTTGAAATTGAAAATATAAAATTGAAATGATTCCACTTCTTCTTTAAAAAGAGTCCAACCTTAGGTCTGTATTCCAAAGCGTTCGTTAATTATAACAATTTAAGTTCGGATAGTGCACTTTCACGTCTACTCTAAAAAACACTGGGTTAAAAACAACCCAATTTGGGTTGTTATTAACCCAAGGGCTGGGTAAATATAGGACAGAACCCATCTTGGGTTAAATTTACCCAGCAGATTGGGTTGTTTATTTAACCCAGCATAATGGGTTGATTTAACCCAGATAATGGGTTTATTCATTTTTACTATATCAGCAATATAAAGCATCAGGCTTTTCCATCACGCGAAAAGACGTTAAAGTTGATTCACACCGCGTGCCTGAATGTTGCTCTGCATAAAATTGAACTATATACAGCACAGTAACGATTTTATAGATAAAATAAAATGTACACAAACCTGTATTTTACCGAAGAATGCATCAATTCGAGTGCGCTTAGAACTGCTCTCTCGTGAAGTGAAGACGCAAAATCCCCATGATAAATAACTCAACCGCTGGGTTACATCTGACCCTGGATCTGAGTAACACTAAAACTACCCGAACATTGGGTTGTTATGTTTGACCCAGGAGCTGCAAAACAACCCAAACACTGGGTTGTTACATTTGACCCAGGAGCTGGGTAACACAAAAACTACCCAAACACTGAAAAAATAACCCCCAAAAAAATACCCAAAAGGCTCAACCCAGCATTTGGGTTAAAAAAATAACCCAGGATTTTTTAGAGTATATATGTTCAAAAATGGGTGGTGACAGGTAAGGGGTTTTTAACTGAGCAAGTATGAGTAAGATAAACTAGAAAAAAATTACAAACTAAACAACGGCGATTGGCCAATCAGAACTCAATATTGTAATGAACTGTGCGTAAGTTTTCGTCATTTTTCACACAAAATGGTTCAAGCGCAACTTTTGACGTTCTTCAGAAAGAAGACAACAGAAGGTATGATATTTTATTGATTAGAGTTTAAAGACATTCCCCTAACATAATGTTATTGTGCTGTATGTGTGACTGTGAGGGACGGAGACAGGATACTGAGAGATGTCATAGAGTGTCACTGACTCTCAGTCCAAAAGCATTCACTGTGTGATGAAGCCTATTAGAATGCAGTTAGAATGCCCTTATAATTCAAGTTATAAAAGAAAAAAACTAAAAAACCTGTGTATGAGTTTTTATTTTTTATATTTATTACACCAGCAAGAGTGCTTTCCTGACTGTCAGCACGTGTGTGTAATTGCAAATGTGCTGTTAATTTTATATAACAGTGCAGAGCAACACTGTGGTGTTTCGTTCCTGAATTAATCTGTTTTTGAACGAATCAAGTGAGCCAATGATTCAACGATTTATTCATAAAGATGGTCACTTGCTTTGTTTATAATTAAATCAGCCGTTTTGAATAAATCGTTTGATTTGAATGATTCAATTAATCATTTGTTAAAACAGGGACTTGCTGCCACTCATTGGTGGGTTTATTGTCATATTTATTCATCCATGACAGGCCTAAACCAACAAAGGGTGCTGACAAAAATCCCCCCATATCAGACCCCATAAGCAAAACAGCTTATAATTCATAGTTCATTTAATAAAGCTTTTATTATTATTATTATTATTATTATTAAATAAAAATGTGTTTAAAAATTAGAGAAATTGTGTAATCATCGTGTAAAGTTAGCTATGGGACCCCCCGCCCCACCAAAGACCACACCATCCCCCCCGAATATTTTTTTTATAATTCAACTACTGAGTATGGTTGATTTGGAAATATGCTTGGGATTGCAGTCTATATGTTTTTTTTTTAGATTTATGAGACATTAGTTTGTGCTATTTAATTATACATTGTAGAATCCATTATTTTTCTGCTGATAGAATATTTTCCTTATAAAGTGTTGTTTTGTTCAAATGTTCAAGTGTTGTTTTTTTGTTTGTTTATGTGTTTGTTTTTTTGTTTGTTTTTCCAAAACATACATGTGGTTATTATAGCCATAACAGATGTTTTTTTTTTTTTTTTTTTACTGAACCAACCAGAGCACTTGGTTCAACAACTAAATATTTTAAATATTCAAAATTCAAGAGCAACAAACATTTGTTTATTTAGAATTTAAACTCTACCGCCACTTTACTTTTGTGTGCACGCTTTAGTGCACCACTTTATTAAGGGATTGTAGGATTTCACCATGTTTTATTTCCGTTGTAAAAGAGATAATTTTCGCACTGGTCTGCTATGCAGGTCAATTTAAACAGTTTAAAGTTAACATGAAATTAAAATCAACAATTATTATTATTATTATTATTATTCATTAATTTTTCTTATGGAATATCGTAGTGTTTATTATAAATGATTTGTCTGTGCACTTTTCTTTTTAATTCATGAGCCCTTGTAATGTTATTGTAATCAAAATAACTTCCCCTTCCTCTTGCAATGACATCTCTTCTCTTTTCTGATGATGTTGTTTGTCCCGGCGTGAGGGCGGGACATCCTCTCACTCACATGAGATGGCAGCAATGGCAAACAGCAATGATCCAACAATCCAATTAATTACTGATGGACCAAGATGGACCAAATTAAATCTTCCCCTTCTTTTTTTTTTTTTTTTTTTTTTCTGGTTCGAGAAGCCATTTCACTCAGATATACATCACAATAGACACAAATGCAACATCCGTTTAATGCCGGCTTTAACTCTTTGTAATTGAAATAGGAAATCTGATGTCTGATGAAATTTAGGATATTTTCCATGTATTAATAAGCTTATTTTTTTAGATTAATTAAGAATGATCATTTCTCATTTGCTCGTAAACCGTCAAATATGGTTTGAACTCAAAAGACAATTTTCGGAACATTTGCATGGTGGTATAATTAATTAATATAATGATTTGAGGCAGCATAAATGTATTTACACAAGAATTACAATCACAATTACAATTTTTTCAGACAACCTAAATAGTATGCTTTATGTGGTGACATCTACCTGATTTCATGCAAGTAAAAAAAAAAAAAAGTAATTAGTCAGACTATGTCAACCTGACAAATTACATAGAAGTAATTTTTATGAGTTAGATCAAGTAGAAATAACAGTTGAAGTTTACTTTTTTTTCAGTGTACATTTTGGTGTGCCACCCTAGTATTTTTACTTTGCCCCTGTGGAGGCACCACTGTCACCATCATGCTGTCCAAACCCTAAAGTGTAACTATCAACTGCTT